CACTGGTTTCAGAGTAGTAAAGCTTGTCTAGCTTCTCCTGTCTCTGCTTTGACACCCACATGTGTCCCGCCTATATTTCAAACGACAAGTGAAAGTGAATTCCTTTAGATCTATCCCGTTGATGGTGACTGATTGGTGCTTATTCGTGCTGGTTGGTTATCTTTATCCCATCCACCTCCTCCTGTACACTCACCTGAAGTTCTTTCTTTGATGCCTCTTCTGTCAACTTATTGATCTTCACTGATAGGTCTTCTAGTTTGTGTGAAGTGAAACATATATATTATCCGTCAAGTCCAGATCTTCTAGAGTCTCATTCGAGGCCTGCGAATCACAACTTTTTTCAGTTGCATAGCCTTCTGAACGTTTTAACTTTATTTTATCCTAGGACTACATCTTCTCCTACACACCTATAATGTTCTCCCTTTGGGGAAAAATCACTCATATCTCAGTCAAATTGTTGGTGACAGTGTCAGTGACTCACAGTGTGAAACGGAGTTTCGGGTGAGACAACACCTGCATCTATGTGCATGCATCATAAAAAAAGCAGACATTCAATGATTTTTTTTCAGTTTTGTATGACTAATTATTCAAAGAGTATGTATGAGTGATAGGAAGCATTCCCTCAAATGCAGGAGGAACGGATGAGGATGTCAAATCGAGGCGAGAATCGGGAAGGCGAGAAACACATTCATCAATCAACCTGAAACCAATCTGGAAATCTTCGTCACTCAGCCAACATCAACAACAAAATTCAGTCGGTCGGATTTTCAGTACAAACAGCGTCAAGTCAGTCAGTTCTTCTTTACGGACCAGAAGCTTGGCGCGGGCAGGTCACAAAGAATATTTCCAACAGCCTGTTTGCAGATCAGTCCTTTATCAACAACTGTCTTCGCTGGCTCTATACTAAAGATCAGATGGCCGGGCCGGGCTGGAAAGAATCACCAACAAGAAACTATGGGAAGAAACAAAACGAGAACCAATCGCCAAACAAATATGCAGGAGAGAGTGCAGGGAGATGGATTGGACACTCACTGAGGAGGCCCCCTGGGTGACATCGCGCGAGCGTCAGGCCATTGCTCGAGTGGAACCAGGTCGAAAGGGAAGCACGCGGTGAGTGGGATGTCAGTGCAAGGGTGACATGGAGGAGATCGTGTGAAGAGTTGAGGAGTTGAAACAGCATGGACTAACATGGATTCAGGTGAAAAGTATAGCAGAAGGAAGACAGAAGTGGCAAGTGGAGACGTGCAGGTGAAGCCCTATGTTCCACCAGGAACCCAAGGGAACAATAATAATATATGAGTATCACGCTACAACTTGTCTTAATATTTTTGAAGTTTTCGGCGCTCTTTTCACTTATTTCTCCCGTCAGAGAAACATACAGTAATCAAATCTATTCAAAATGCATACGATTAGCATAAGTGAACTAGGCAGAACATAAAATACGAAGCTTTCACAAACCATCAAGAAATGTCATTTTTCATGTGAATTATACTCTACTTGTCTTGTTTGCAGTCATTTTTCACCTTGATATCTAACATTGACAGTTTTTCTCAAAGACCGCTTAAAGCAAACTTTGAAAGGCGACCGCCTGTTTACTTTCGAATAAAATGAGAATAATACAATACAAGCTATATGGATCAAACTTAATTGGGCTGAGATCTCATTCATCATGGACCAAAGTTAGCTGGAGAGAGAGACACATATATAAGCATAAAACTTGGGCACTGTGTGTGTGTGTATGAGTATAACTCCATTATAGATAAGAATTTATTTTGATAAATTCACACAGTATTTAACTGGTGACTAGCAATGTAATCCAGGATGCGCCATTCACCAGTTAAATTCTAATTAAATGCCCAGACATCGTCGAAGCATCTGTACAAGAAGCCAACATGTCAGTCTGAGACTGAGCACTTCGGTCCAATCAATCGACGGGAAAATCTCAAATTCAATTAAAATCACACAGTGTTATGAAGTAATGTTTACTGATACCTTGCAATGATTGTGGTTGAGGTCAACTGCATAGTTAAGTCAAATTAGTAGATTATCAGAAAATAAAAATCTAGCTAACGTAAGAATAGCTGATACCACGAAGAGAGAAAAAAACTCTGCACTACACTGCATTGCATACGTCGGTAGCGCAGCTGTTAGGACTCTCACCGACCTTGTACATGCCCCGCGGTTCGATCGCCTTCAAGCGCACACCTGATATTAATGGTCATTCTGAAAAATTTGGGCTACCGATATCAGATGCTGAAAATTTCACACTTTTAGCAAAAATGCTGTGTGGTTTCAAGCTATAATCAAAATTAAAAAAATTTGGAGGGGAGACAGTCAAAATTGTAAAAAGTATTATAATTAGGTAGAGAGAAAGTTGATTCCTGAATCCTGGTTCATTCAGTCTACACACCCAACATATGCAACTGTCTGTCTGTCTGGATTCAAAATAGAACTTGGCACCGAAGTGCAGCAGTTCGAGTTGCCACGTTCCAAATAGCTTTTAGCACACAGAGGTAGACAAGAAGATGAGTGGAGAGAATCAATAGAGTTTGACAAGTATGAGAGTGCAACAGAAATGACTCTATGCAAACACCAGAAATATGGAAGATATTATTACCATCAATCAGTCAGTCAGTCAGTGAAATCAGAGGAGGATAATAAATAATCTTAAATTGTATTCTATTTCAATTCAGTTCACGTACATTACAACATTCTAACAAGTTACTCACTTATTATGACTATAAAAACACTCGTCTAATTTCCCATCTGATTGTATTTGATGAATAACACTCGTATTATTATTTCTGAATGTACATTATCCTACATTGGTTTTTATTCCAATATTTAATCGATTCCACACATGTATATAAATGAAGGAAACAAGAAAGTTGTGTGAGTGAGTAAGTGACTTGATATGATTATGAGTGGCAATAGTTTGTGCTCGAAACTTGTGGTAATCAGTTAATATTACTGTATAAAACTACACTGTGTGATTTTATACAAATAAAATTTTATCTATAATAGAGTTAGCTGGAGAGAACACTGACTATACTAATTAATGTATAGTAGAAATATATTCGTTTGTGCTTCGGTGCCACAGTGGCTAGGACTCTCGCCGACCATGCACATGGTCCGGGGTTCGAGCCCTCGCCAATGCACACCTTGATATTTATGGTCGGCCTGCGAAATTTGGGCTACCGATATCCACGCTGAAAATTCCATATTTGTACCAAAAATACGGTGTGGAATCAAGCTGTAGTAAAAAATAAAAAATAATAAATTTCACGCAAAACCAATAACTAATGTTTCATCTGTTGTTATTCTTGCCTTATTGATTCACATATAAACTGACGTTATGCACTTTGAACAACGTTATTTCACCTTTGAAGCCATACGAAAAAGCCTGTCACCTTTACAACCAAGGTATAAGATTTCAAAAAAATATAAAATATCTCGATATCATTTAGATTAAAAGTTGATATGATGAATGAATGATCTTTTCAATGAATTCTGTTCAGTGTTTCTTATGATTATTATGATTCAAATAATAAATAGCCAGTTTTGCAATGAGTACATCTTTTACGTAGAATAATAGATTAGTTATAAGTTGATAAACAGTAAATAGTAATATTTGTATGATAATCGTGCTGAGGTGAATGCAATTATAAAAACATTATTGTGGAATACAAGACGACAACGGGGATCAGTCAAAAACAGACTTATACAATGTAGTAAAGACAAGTCGAGATATTATTTGTTTAAGGTTGTAAAACGAGTTTGGCAAGTGCATATCCACAACCTGCCTGGCTATTATTGCAATAGGGGTCGCACTATGTCGTGAATTGGCAGACGTTTGAATTCATGGGTCACTGGATTGGGTCCCAGTGGCCTAATAGTCTACAAGCTAGCTCGCCTTGTTACCAGAAGATCCGGGGTTCAAACCCCGCAGTGAACACGTACTGATGCAGAGTCCCAAGCTACGTGGACGAAACAGCTGTCCAGTACTCTCAGGTAGTTTTCCAATGGTTCTCTAACTAATATCAACTCATGATGAAATCCTTTGACCAATCAAATCCCTACAAACCAACACTTGAATAGTAAATATTTTGCATGGACCTGAAGCTGCGGAGTCACTGCTTTACTGATAGAAAGCTCACCAGCCACACACACACGTGGTCCGGGTTCAGTCTCTGGCCGACATGCTCCTAAACCTGGCGTAATTTACCAGCCTGTAATAAGATCGTAGAAGTGGGAGATTTGTATGTTCGAGGCTACTGAAGCTATACAGCTTGAAGCCCTATAATCTACTTGGCATGTATCGGAAGGAAGAGAAGAACCTTTAGAGGATTCACTGAAAAGAGTATTTTACGTTCAGAATGACTATCACCCATGCCATCCATCGCCTTCTTCGACTGACAGGCAATGTTAGCTGACATAGGATTGGTCAGGCTGAAAAAGAGCTAGCGGTGGTCGCACCAAAACATGGCCTTATCAGTCAATGAAATATACAACAGTTAGTTTAAACCAGCTAGCCACATAGTAAGGTGTAGACTTCCTGATTGGTGGATTGGAGTCCTCTGGACGGTAAACACCAATGACAGCTGGAGATAGGTGGTGATATGTCTCAAAACGATCTTTTTTTCAATGGCTGGCGCAAATGCATCCACTCCTTGTGTCCTATAATTTCCAATGAAACTATATTGTTCTTCGTTATTACTCTTCTTAATGCCTCATGTCTCTGTTTACTGCCTCTGTTATGCATTTCTTCTTTCTGCTTTCTTCTGTTGCTTTGTGTGCTACAAGGGGGGGGGGGTGGAGGGGAGTGACTTGAACTACTAGACATTGGTGCAAAGTTGTATGTCGAAAATAGAGAGAACATTTAAGGGAATCGGTGTTTTGCTGTTTTTACAGACAAACTTAGACATTTTATCATATATATATATATATATATATATATATATATAATTTTATGTAACTTTATTTATTGTTAAAACTTACAGATACAAGGATACTCTACTTCGCAATCGTTTAGCGTGTATGAAAATGTTGCCTGGGGTGAAGATGTTGATCCTGCTAAATCACTTCTAACCGCTCCATCTTCAGTTTACACATATGGAAGAGGGGGACCAGTGAATAATAATAATAATAATAATATAGGTGACTGTAACCATTCGCTTGATGTCAATAGAATCGATGATAAGCAAGTGTCAATTTCAATTTCAGACTATGGTGGTCTATCGAATACGCCAACATCTGTGATGCCTATCCATCGGTAATAATATAAGATGATAACACAGAATAATGCAAACACACACACACACATATATATATATATATATACACCTACACTTCCACAAGCAGAATAAACACTTTGAGAAATGAAGATGATCGCCTTATTTTTAAAGATGGAAAAAAAATTTATAAAAAAAACGGAAAAAGAAGAAAGATTTATTATTATTATTTACTTTATTTATTAATACAATCAGTACATGGGTATGCACTTTGACTGTATCGTCCACATGTAAGAATCCGCGTTAACCGCGCTTATTCACTTGTAACAAAACATCGAATATACATATGCAAAAGTATACACAGAGGAATTAAACCAATCTAGAGGCATTATAACAAGACCTTATTGAGATATTTTCTAAGATTCCTTCAACTATATATATACATATATCCTATGATTATACAAAACAACAGATATATATATATATATATATAATGTTTCAAGAGGATGAATTATTTTCATTTTTGGCATTTCGATATTTTATTAAAACAGTTGCTCTTTTCACCCACTCTTAACATATAAATATACATATAGATATGCTTGAGCTACATCACCTTTTGCACACAGAGAGAGAGACCAGAGTGATTATGACTGACTGCTTAGAAATGTAAATTATAATAATAATAATGATTATTATTATTATTATCATTATTATTACTATTATTGCTATCATCACTGATGAAATTTGTTTACCAGACAGATGTTGCGTGTACAAATAAGCATACATATATATGTATACACATATTTCATTCAAAAGAAAATTCTCTTCTCCAATGTCTACATATCTTATCTACACATAAGCATGATTAAGCTTCCGCAAAATGTATAAAAGTGAAACATTCACAAAAAATGCCTTACAATTGTGATATTATTTACTAATCTAATTTTCAACTATTATTATTATTATTATCTTCGTTATTATTATTATTATTATTCGCTTGTCTATACTTCAGATGAATTGACTGAGATAAATAGCTTTTACCGAACACTATTTTCTTTTTTATTCCTTTACGCTCCAAGTGGAACACCACATAGGGAGGCTTCAAGCTAGAGGCCTAAAGTTTCTGTAGTAGTAGTAGTAGTAGTGGTGATTATTTTTTACAGCATGAGGTTGTTAGCCTCACATTAGCCCAACCTTCCTTCTTTACGAGTCTTACTACCCCGGCTTAGCGAGGTGAAGCAGAGAGAGTCGGTGGCCGGGTATTGAACTCCGAACCACACTGCTTTTTTTCTTAATTGCAATGAGATAAACGAATAGAATAACTAGTATACAATTGGTGGGTGGTGGCTAGCGGTGGAATCTGGGATGCCCATTTCGTCCTATTTAGGACTCGTCAGTTGGATGTACCTGCATTTCTCACTGAGTGATGATGATGTTCCCACCGAGGCTCGAACCCAGTGCCCATAGTTTCAAACGCCAAAGCGTTATCCACTAGACGACTTGGGCCACAGAATAGCTATTATTGAGCATTGAATTGTACCGCTAGGATCATCATTATAATAATAATAATTTTAAAACAAGCAACAAAGGTTAAAAAGCAGGATTTAATAAATTCATCAAATTTCGGTAGGACTCCTCGTCAGCTGCTGAGTACTCTACATGCACGGATATATACACTTTTGAAACTACATTGGGAGATATAATACTGATAAGTAAATAAACTACATTGAATTAGTCATGCAGAAAAACAGGTGCAGATGTTTTAATTAAAATATAAATAAAATTAAAACAAAAATGACCAGAGGAATTTGTCCACGTTTACGATATAAAGTCAAAAATATTCGAAGCACGAATTGAGATTATTACATATTATAACAATAATAATAACAGTTTGTTTCAAAGAGTATTGTCGATTCAGTTTGAAAATTTTAGCATATTTCTATACAGTATTGAATCTAATTTTCTGTTGATGTAGTATAGTGAGGGGAAATACAAGATTAACAACAATGGTAACACAGCTTAAACGATGGTCACACTTATGAAAAATAAATAAATGAAAACAAAAATTGAGAGGACTATAAATATAAGAAATACAACAACAATCAAGTTTGGTACTGTAAGGGTGGAAGAAATGGATTATTTAATAGTGCAAAGAAAGTTAGTTAGTTCATACCTGACATTATTTTCATCACAAAAAGTACGTGCCAAATATGATGTAGTGGAATTTTTATACTTAGACGTACGTGCGTAAATTCTTCTGAAAAGACTTCTCGTTTTACCTGAGGAGACACGATGTTGAGCTGCGGGTAGAGTGGGTGCTCAGAGTCTGACAAAATTCCTTTAGCGAATTTGTTGCATGACATCAAGTGCCTTTCAGTGACAATGTCAACGATATGGCCCAATGGGATACCACTCCTCCAACTGACTGACAGTTTACAGAGTTCTAAGAGGTATGACACACTCTTTTTTAAGCAATCGAGTAAAGAGTAAGACATGGGAAGACCAGGATAGGTCAGAAGAAAGAATTAATCCAAAATACTTAAATTCAGACTTGTTTTCTATATCAATATCATCACTTTCGCAAGGGTCATGGAAACAAACGGCTTCATTTAACTTGTTTACATCAGAAACTGAAATTAACAGTCTGACATTTGGAAGGATTTATTTTAAGACCGACCATTAGACGAAGACCATTTGCTAACTCCTGATAGAAAGCTGTTCATCTTAGTACAGTCAAGCTGGGAGTTAACAGACATTGAAATAGTCACTTCGTCCGCATACTTAACAAAGTTCATTTCATCAGAGTGAGGCAAGTCATGCAAGAAGAAGGATAACAGAAAAGGAGAAAGGACAGCACTATGAGGGACATCAGCCTCAGTAAGCAACGAAGTGGACGACTTTCCCTGACATACGGTGTACTGTTTTCTTCCTGAGAAATAAGAATGCAGCCATTTGACAACCCAATAGTCAGTTTGAGTTTTGGCAAGCTTGTTTAACAAAATGCCCCTAGGTACTGAGCCGAAAGCAGATGTGTAATCTACGAAGGTGCAGCGAACAAATTTACCCCTTGTCTAAACTGGAGACAAGACAGCAACTGCATCTAAAGTACTTCTACTGTGTTTATAGGCGAATTGTTCGGGATCGTTAAAGGCGTTAAGTGAAGTTTGAAGATTAAGTAAGAGTAACTTTTCCATAGCCTTTTGAAAAGGGGAGGTAATAGCAATAGGTCTAAATTCAAAACATGTTCCAGTAGACTATTTAGGGATAGGTACAATTTCGGTGTCCTTCCAAACTGCTAGCGCGACATTTCTGGAGAAAGATTCGTTAAATATGTCCATGAGAGGATAACACAGGATGTCTGCACATATTTTAAGAATAACACTAGGCAAACCGTCTGGACCCAGGCTAGAAGAAGTATTCAGAGACTGGAGACATTTTAGAACATCATTTGTATTGAAACCAGGGAAGCAGGTTTCATTAACACTTGTAACACTAGAAAGTTTGGCATTTGTGGGAGAATATATGAAAGACTTGTTTAGCGTGCAAACATCAAGGGAATAAGAAATACTGTTCATCTGCTTACCACCAGTAATTTCTTTGAAAAGTTTCCATATATTAGACGCATTTTTACAGGATATAAACTTTTGGTTGTAAATTGAATTCAACCTGTGCATTTCAGATTTTATTAGGATGTTAATTCTTTTCAAACCAGTATTATCTTTCGTTTTGTATACCTTTTTTTGTCTGCGAAGTTTTTTAAGTTGAGGGGAGGAGAAAGGGTCAAATCTGATGAAGAGCGTTTCTCTGGAACAACAGGTGTCAAGACAAAATTTGAGATAACTTGTAATATTACAGATTGTGTCATCAAGAGAGTCTTCATTAAACAGGTCTCACCTTGTGTCCTAGAGCATGCCCCTAAGATTCTGAACATTCTCCAAAGAGTAACATCCATGTACAGTTTTCTTGGGAAGGTGTGAAAAAGTTCTCTTGTGTAACTTTCCATAAATTTTTGTTAAAACCCGTACAACACAATGATATGAGTTAAACGGTGAGGCTCTTTTACGAGCTTCGTATATTCCACGGTCATTTATAAATACAAGATCAAGGGAATTATCCAGTCTGGTGGGAAAGTTGACGACATTTTCATGATCTAGCACTGTGAGAAAGCTGTAGTCACATGAATTAGAATCGCCTGTGACTATGGACAATGAGTTTCCAAAAGAGGAGGCAGCGAAATTAGTGAACGCATCAGGAAACATAGACAGTTCTGAAGTGCTACAGCAGGGTGTGACATAAATGTTTGTGATATAAATGAATTTGTATTTAGATAGGTGTTTAGGTCGACATTTGACAGTTATACAGTCAATATTATCATTTGAGAATTTAAAACAGACGTTGTTGGCAACAGACCACTGAAAATTGATAAAAGTGCCAACACCACCACCTCGCTTCTTCCTTGAACTGCTTCGGTCTTGTCTGTACACATTAAAACCATTCAGTAAGATTAGATTGTCATCATATGAGTCGTGGAGCTAAGTTTCTTGAAGCGTTATTACACTTGTATTATGATAAATATTTGAACATAATAGAGCATCCAAGTAATTAATCTTGTTTGATAATGACGATTTGGACACATAATTGAATAATTAAAACAAAATAAACCCAAGTAATCAGAGGCAATATAAATGACAGAAAATTTTGGTAGCCCAAGGTTTAAGCATGCCGTCGTAGGGACAGAGAGCGAGAGTATGAGAGATCAAAATTAAGATAAATTGCATTAGACTTCAATTACATCACTTAGATAAACAATTAGTCATTAGGGAGTATAACAAGAATTTCAAACAGAGTAAAATCAATAGTAATAGTTATAATAACAATAATAATAATAATAGTGTTGAAGTGAGTTAAGATAATGCTACTGATAAAGGATAGTTTTAAATGAATCAAGAATAATAATAATAAGAGGTAGAATAATAAGTAAAACGTATTACCATGGCAGATTCAGAGTCATGGCCATCTCCTTTTGTACACAGAGACCTGGTTCA